TTTTTTCTTCCATGATCTTTGTAGTTTCAGGTTTTACATTTAGGTCTTCGATCCGTCTTGAATTAGTTTCGGTGTATGGTGTAAGGTATGGATCCTGTTTTCATTTTCTGCAAGTTGATAACGAGTTTTGCGAGCACTATTTGTTAACGAGTCTGTCTCTTCCACATTTAATTCATTTCGATCCTTTGTCTAAGATCAACTTTTGATAGGTGGATGGATTTACTTGTGCATTCTCAATTCTGTTCCATTGGTCTATATGTCTGTTGTTGTACCAGTACCAGGCTGTTTTGACTACTGTGGTTGTACTGGCTTTATAGTAGGCTCTGAGATCAGTAAGTGTGAGGCCTCTTACATTGTTCTTCTTCAGTAGGGCTTTGCTTATCTGGGGCCTCTTCCCTTTCCATATGAAGTTGGTGATTAGTTTTTACATCTTGTTAAAGAGTGTTGATAGAATTTGTATCGGGATTACATTGTATCTGTAGATCGCTTTGGGTAGTATTGACATTTTCACAATGTTAAGTCTTCCTATCCATGAGCTTGGTATGTTTTTCCACTTATGTAGGTTGCTTTTGATTTTTTGCTATAGTGTTTTGTAGTTTTCTTTGTATAAGTCTTTTACATCTCTGGTTAGGTTTATTTCTAAGTATTTTATCTTTTAGGGGCTATTATAAATTGTATTGTTTTCCTGATTTCCTTTTCGGAGTTCTCTTTGTTAGTGTAGAGGAATCTGACTGATTTTTGTATGTTGATCTTGTACCAGCAGCCACTTTGCTCCATCCTTCTATTAGTTCCAGTAGCTTTCTTCTGGAATCTTTGGGATTTTCTATGTATGAGATCATATCATCTGCAAATAGGGATAGTTTTACTTCTTTACCAATTTGGATGCCTTTTATTTCCCTTTCTTGCCTTACTGCTCTGGCTAGGACTTCCAGTACAATGTTGAATAAGAGTGGTGATAAAGGGCATCCTTGTCTGGTTCCCATTCTCAAGGGGAATGCTTTCAGCGTCTCTCCATTGAGAGTTACGTTGGCTGTTGGTTTTATATGTATACCTTTTATTATGTTGAGGAATTTCCTTTATATTCCTATTTTGCTGAGAATTTTTATCAGGAATTGGTGTTGGATTTTATCAAATGCCTTTTCCACATTGATTGATAGGATCATGTGGTTCTTTTCCTTTGTTTTATTTGTGTGGTGGATTATGTTGATTGATTTTCTAATGTTGAACCATCCTTGTATACCTTGTATGAATCCCACTTGGTCATAATGTATTATTTTTTTGATATGTTGTTGGATTCTATTGGCTAGAGTTTTATTGAGAATTTTTGTGTTTATATTCATAAGAGATACTGGTCTATAATTTTCTTTTTCAGTTATGTCTTTGCCTGCCTTTGGTATCATGGTTATGCTTACTTCATAGATGAATTCAGGAGTATTCCATCCTTTTCTATGTTCTTGAATAGTTTGAGTAGGATTGGTGTCAGGTCTTCTCTGAATGTTTGGTAGAATTCTCCAGTGAAGCTGTCTGGGCCAGGGCTTTTTTTATTGGGAGTTTTTTTTTATGACCTCTTCAATTTCTTCTTTTGTTTTGGGCCTGTTCAAATTTTCTACCTCAGTTTGTGTTAGTTTAGGTAGGTAGTGTTTCTAGAAATCTGTCCATTTCTTCTAGGTTTTCAAATTTGTTGGCTATAGTTCTTCATAGAAATCTGTCCATTTCTTCTAGGTTTTCAAATTTGTTGGGTATAGTTCTTCATAGTATTCTGTTATGATCCTTTTCTTTCCCCAGGTGGTCCTGTTGTAACCACACCCATCTCATTTCTTATTTGTGTTTTTTGCATCTTCTCCTTCTTTTCATTTGTCAATTTAGGCAGTGGTTTGTCAATTTTATTAATTCTTTCAAAGAACCAACTTCTGGTCTTGTTGATTCTTTCTACTGTTTTTGTGTTTTATATTTCATTAATTTCTGCTCTAATCTTTATTATTTTCTTTCTTCTGACCTATATAATTTTTCTTCTCTCTGCAGAACTTCTTTTAACATTTGTTGGAAGACAGGTCTATTGGCAACAAATTCCCTCAATTTTTGTTTGTCTGAGGATGTCTTTATTTCTCTTTTACTTTTGAAGGATAATGTCGCTGAATACAGAGCACAGTGAAACCTGTAAGAGCCAGAACTTTGAAGGGAGCACCTTGTTTTTCTGGGTCTCGCAAGTTTTCTGCTTTTGATGGGGTACAGTCACCACTTTTCTATTGCTCTCTCTTTAGTGGAAAATATTTGAGTTTTCCCTGTCTGACAGGTTTCCACCTTACACAGGTCCCAGTTTTTGCAGGTTTTACTGTACTAGGTTGGTGGTTTTATTCTTTCAACATTTTTAATATTTCACTTCACTTTTTCTTGTTGTGGTTTCTAAAGAGAAATCCAATATAATTCTTATCCTTGTTCCTCTGTAGGCAAGCTGTTTTTATCCTGACTTCTTTTAAGATTTTCTCTTTGCCTTTGATTTTCTGCAGTTTGAGTATGATATGCCTAGAAGTAGATTTTTTGGTGTTTATCGTTTTTGGTGTTTGTGACTTTACTGGATCTGTGATTTGGTATCTGTCATTAATTTTGGAAAATTCTCAGCCATCATTACTTCAAATATTTTTTTCTATTCCTTTTTCTCTTCTACTTCTGGTATTCCCATTACATGTATGTTATACCTTTTATAATTATTCCACTTACTCTGTTTCCTTTTTTCATTCTTTTTTGTTTTTGCTTTTACAGTTTTGGAGGTTTCTATTGATGTGTCTTCAATGTCACTGATTCTTTCCTCCGCTATGTCTAGTCTGCCTTTGAGCCCATCAAAGGCAGTCTTCATTTCTTTTACTGTGTGTTTTGATATCTAGAATTTTCGTTTGATTCTTTCTTAGAGTTTCTGTCTCTACTCATGTTACCCATCTGCTCTTGCATGTTGTCTACTTTTTCCATTAGAGCATATTAATCATCATTAATTTTAAATTCCTGGTCTGATAATTCCAAAATCTCTTCTGTTTCTGAGTCTGGTTCTGATGCTTGCTTTTTCTCTTCAGAATGTATTTTTTGCGTTTTAGCATGCCATGTAATTACTTATTTTTTAAGCTGGTCATGATGTATCAGGTAAAAGTAACCAAGGAAATTAAACCTTTAGTGTGAATTTATATGTTTATCTGGCTAGTTCAGCTGTGTTTACTGTCTGCTGTAGCTGTATGTGTCAGAGGCTAAAATTTCCTCTAGTGTCTTTGTTTTTGTTTTCCCTGTTTTCTTTGGGTTTCCCTAGAGACTCCTTCTTAAATAGGGTCTGATGTTTGCAGTTCTTATAGCTGTAATCTCTTTTTATTTTACAATAATATCATTTGTTATTGCTGTGGTGGAAAGGTTTTGGAGGAGGAGGAGTATTCTTTAGTCCTGTGATTAGGTCTCAGTGTTCTTGTGACTCTGTGCCCTTGGGCTGTGAACTTCACAGTTGCCTCTCAGCTATCCTCACCCCCAACCCCTTGGATAAGACAGGAATGCTAGAGGGGGCTGGAGTTGGGTATTTTCCTTCCCCCAGTTTGGTTAAGAAACCCTGGTGGCATAGTAGTTAAGAACTACAACTGCTAACCAGAAAGTTGACAGTTTGAATCCACCAAGCACTCCTTGAAACCCTATGGGGCAGTTCTACTCTGTCTTATAGGGTCACTATGAGTCGGAATCAACTCGACAGCAATGGGTAGGGTTGGTTAGGCTTTGGTAAAACTCAAAGCGGTTAAAAAGCCGGTTGTCTTCGAGTTGATTCCAACACGTGTCAAAGCAGAACTGTCCTCCATAAGGTTTTCAATGGCTGATTTTTCAGAAGTAGATCACCACCCTTTCTTCTGAGATGACTTATGTGGACTTGAACCTCCAGCCTTTCAGTTAGCAGCCAACACGTTAACCATTTGCACCACTCAGGGACTCAAGGTGGTTGGGCTCTGGTAAAATAGTTTCCCTTGAGGGCAGGCCTTGTTAAGGAGAACAGAGAGCTCTGGACATATTTCAAAGTAGTTACTTTTCCTCTCCCCTACTAGAAGCATGAGGGGATATTTCTTTGATCTACACAGTGAGAACTCTTTGGACTCCTAGAAGGAAAACTCATGAAAGTAGTTGGCTCACCTAGGACTAGAATTTTTAACTCTGGTACTAGTCCACACTGAGCAATTAGCAATTGGCAAATAAAGTTTAGTGTTTCTACTGGCACTGACTCCAGCTGCAAGCTTTTGTTTCTGGGCAGAACGCTCCCAGTAAACTGTGATTCTCTGTATCTACCTTTCTGTCTTGCGACTGTTTGGGGTAGCAGTGTGCCCTGTAACCTCAGTTCTCTGATAGATCTAAGAAGAGTTGTTGATTGTCAGTTTGTTCAGCTTTTTTCTTGTTGTGAGAAGGGAGTAACGACTTCCAAACTTTTGACATACCAGACTGGAAACTGGAAATCCACTTCTTTTGAGATCCTTGTTGCTGTATAATATCAGTTTTACAATTATTTTGCCTAATAAATAATTCAATAAGTATTTATTGAATACCTACTGTATACAAAGTATTTTACTCAGCATGGGTGGAGCAAAAAGAGTAATATGATACAGACTTTCAAAGGATCTACTAGGAAAGGAAAACATGTATATAAATACAATATAAGGCAGTTTGCCATAGGTGCTATAAGCTCTTCAGAATTTCAGATAGCAGAAAGAGCATTTTTGAGTGGTGATCAGGGATGAGTCCATGAAAGTAGAGGCATTTGACTAATCCGTATAGCTTGTGAGTATTTAAATGGCAGTCAGTATGATGTAAGAATCCTGAAATGACAGCTCTCCCATTGCCAAAGATTCTGTCTTTAAATTAGGAGAACCATTTCAATATCAGTAAATGGTTACTGATAGCTAAACATTACTACAAATACTAACTTAAATATTTATACTTTTATAAATAAATATTTTGCATATGATGGGTAATTGCTATTTTTATGTTTTTAGGCCATGAATATTGTGGTTCCCTTCATGTTTAAATATGCTGTAGACAGCCTCAACCAGATGTCGGGAAACATGCTGAACCTGAGTGATGCTCCAAATACAGTTGCAACCATGGCAACAGCAGTTCTGATTGGCTGTATGTGTGATTTTTTAATCTGTCTACAGATGTTGACTTTCTTCAAGAGGGTTTCATCATACTTGGGCAGATGACCTTTTCACCACACCACAGCACAGCTTAGAATTTTGGATATTTATTATTTTATTTGAGGGTTTTTAATTCTTCTTATGATATACTTTCTAAAAATTCCCTGATATCAGTTGTATTTTTCATGTTCTCGAAAACTGGTATAAAAGAAGACATTAAATTCATAACAGCCATCTCTTATAGTTAGGCACCTTCTAAGATACTTTTCCAGTAAGCTTAGTTATTTTGTTGCTGTTGTTGTTGGCTGTTAAATAGGAAATAGCTAAATAATTTATACACACACACACACATTAGTGCTTAGTGCTTTAGTAAAATCTGTTCAATAGCAATGACACAAATCGACAGTTTCAAAACAGCAGAATATGAATGCATTAGAAATGACATTTTATGAGACTCGGGACACGAGTGGGTCATGCTTTCGTCAAGGCACTTGAGTTTTCAGGACCTCAACTTTATTATTTTTTGTTATTTGGGGAATTATGTTAGATCAAAAACCTTAATAGATACTATACGATTATCCACAATAAGGCTATATGAGCTATTTATTAAAAACATTTAAATTGGAAGAAAGAAATCTTTTAATATCCTGAATCTATGAGGGAAAATAACACTGAAAGGGATTTTTGATGGCGGAAAGGTTGGTATTTACTAGGCTGATTTCTAGTTTGTTTGCTTTTTTTTTAGTGTAAGTACCTGTGATACACTCATTGATTGAATTATTCATTGTGTAAACATTTTCTGAACCATTACCATTTTTACAGTCCTGTGATTCTAATGTTTTTACACTCTTTTTTTTTAAATGTATTGTTAGATGGTGTATCGAGAGCTGGAGCTGCCTTTTTTAATGAAGTTCGAAATGCAGTATTTGGCAAAGTAGCCCAAAATTCAATTAGAAGAATAGCCAAAAATGTCTTTCTCCATCTTCACAACTTGGATCTGGGTTTCCACCTGAGCAGACAGACAGGAGCTTTATCTAAGGCTATTGACAGAGGAACAAGGGGTATCAGTTTTGTCCTGAGTGCTTTAGTATTTAATCTTCTTCCCATCATGTTTGAGGTGACTCTTGTCAGTGGTGTTTTGGTAAGTAAAACATTTTTCATAACAAATTTTTATCTTTGCCATCTCATTAGTGGCTATTTAGTACTGAGGCTATTGTGCTGTTACATGCCTATGGATTTGAAAGCAAAATTTCATGATGCAAGAAGGATTATGCAGTTCTTAAATTTTCTTGCCACAAGCTTTAAGGGACTGTCCAAATTTTCTATTGTGTTATAATTGTAAAAACTGTTCAGTTCTACACATAAATCAGTCATTAAGTAGTGCTGTCAAATTTTTATTAGGAGAGATTTTTGTGTATGACATTGGCCTGGTATGCTCGGAATATCTAGGTTTCTGTTCACCGTTCATAACACTTTAAGCAACTTCATATTTTACAGCTAAAAGTATGTAAAAACCAACCAAACCTATTGTCATCGAGTCGATTCCGACTCATAGCAACCCTGTAGCACAGAGTAGAACTGCCCCATAGGGTTTCCAAGGAGCGACTGATGGATTCAAACCGCCGACCTTTTGGTTAGCAGCCAAGCTCTTAACCACTGTGCCACCAGGGCTCTTTTTTATTCCCCTTTAGGCTTATTGCACTATTTTGCTATCAACATTTAAGGGTAATATCAGTGTGGCAGGAGTCCCTGAGTGATGCAAATAGTTAACGTACTCAGCTGCTAACTAAAAGGTTGGAGATTCCAGTCAACCCAGAGGCACCTCAGAAGAATGGCCTGATGATCTACTTCTGAAAATTCAGCTATTAAAAACTATGTAGCACAGTTCTACTCTGACACACATGGGGTTGTCATGAATGAGAATCGACTTGATGGCAACTGTTTTTTTTATTTTTTTGAATTTTTTAATCAACGTGGTAAGTGAAGATTGACTTTCTTCCCTTGTTACCTAAAGTAGATTTTCTAGGTTTTACTTTGATGTCTTACCAAATTATTTACTTACACAACTTAGCATTTATTAAAATATTTTGACTAAAAATTGCTATTGTATATTATAAATTATTTGGCAAGAACAATGACTGTTTCTCATTTCTTCTTTTGCTTTTTCCAGTATTATAAATGTGGTGCCCAGTTTGCGTTGGTAACCCTTGGAACACTTGGTGCATACACAGCTTTCACAGTTGCAATCACACGGTGGAGGTAAGGTATTCGCCAGAGGCTAGTCAAGGTTCAGAAATTAGTTATGCTTTTATAACAAACGTGTTATGACTATGCAAATCTTTGTCTTGCAGAACTAGATTTAGAATAGAAATGAACAAAGCGGATAATGATGCAGGTAATGCTGCCATAGACTCACTGCTGAATTATGAAACTGTGAAGGTAATATGTTTAATTATATTTTCCTCTACCTTTCACACTGCACTAAGATTTGTTCTGCCATTTAATTTAATAGGTGCTGTAAGTTAGAACTTCATATTCTCAAGTAGTTTTAGGATGGGCTCTAGCTGTGATGAAGTAATAGTACTATATTGCTTTTCTTTTGTTTAGAAATTACAGTTCTTTTTTCCTTGGTTTTTGTTTGACACCATCATAATTTTACCTTTTGAATTAATTTGTAAGTGATAGGAGTGTGGTTAGCATCTTGATTCAGAGTGGACACTAAGCTAATCAAACTGGCATATAAGTTCTTGAGTCTCCTTTTGTCTCTCAGAGTGTGTAGCATAGTGCTTTTCATTATTTCATTTATTTGTTCAGTTTTCTATTCAAGAACTAGTTACTGAATGCCTCTTGTATGCAAACCACTATGCTAAGTGCTGTAATTTGTGGGGGAGGTGGTGGTTTAAAAAAACGATTAATATATAATCCCTGCTCTACCAGAACTTTGTTATCTACTGGGAGAGTTAAGGTAAGTATGCAGGTGACTATACAGTAAGAGATAATGTAGTGGGGACAATGAGAAATACCAATTCAGGGGATCAGGGAAAGTCTTTGTAAAGGAAGTGTTATTGAAGGCTTTTTTAAGATACTGGTTTAAATTAATTAGGCATTCAGTAAAAGTTTATTGGATGAATTTTATAGGCTTTTCAAACACAACCCATGATGTAAAATGGCAGGAGTGCCATAGCCCAATATAGTGAAAGTCAGTTTTTTAAAATTTATTATGCAGTAAAAAATTATTATATCCATACATGAAGTCTGGTGAAAAGTATACTAATCAATTAAGAGGATAAATTTTAATTATATTTGTACATAAGTTACTAATTTTGTATATTCTGCAGTACTTTAACAATGAAAAATATGAAGCACAGAGATATGATGGATTTTTGAAGACATATGAGACTGCTTCATTGAAAAGTACCTCTACTCTGGCTATGCTGAACTTTGGTCAAAGTGCTATTTTCAGTATTGGTTTAACGGCTATCATGGTGCTCGCCAGTCAGGGAATTGTGGCAGGTAATGGATCTGTGATTATCACATTTATAGACTGTTCTACTTAACCTTTATAAATAAAGATTACTGAGAGGAATGTGTTTACTAGTCTTAAGTATAAAGCATGATCAATAAGGAACTTTAACATTCACTGGAGTACTTTCCTTTTTTGTACTAGAATGCATTTTCTTGATTGTTTGATTTTTTTTTTTTAACTTCTGTTTAATACTGCCAGTTTAGCATTGGCACGCTCACTGATTGGGATTACTGTTTATACATTTTGTGGGTCTACAACTTGATTCTTTCATGAGAAACTTTTTTTAGCATCTAGTATTTCTAATTTCTCCTGTAGACCTGTAAAGCAGTGTAATTAATTTAATGTTTAGTTCAACAGACTAAAATGCAAACAGTCTTCTTTTAATATTACCAGTAATCTTTTCATCTTTCTATTAGTTCCTCATGTGCAAAACATTTCAAAAATAAATAATGTCTGTGTCTTTTTTCTGTAACCCCCTACTCAATTAGGATTTATTTATTCATTGTGACCTTAATACTTGGTTTATCATTCCTAGTCATGATATCCATTTCCTCCAATTTTTTAATATATTCTCTTTTTAAATTTCTATTTTACACTGCACAGTAACTGTTGATTGTGTCTTAGGAAGAAAGAAGAGATTTTTTAGCTTTCCATTTCTGTCTCCACTTAAACGATTATCTTTTGATATATTAAATATATTGCATGGCTGAGGATTTTTCCATTCCATTTAGCATATACCAAGTTTCTTATATTACCTAAATCAGGAATTAAAATGCTTTGAAATTTGAGTAGGTCTGAGAGTTGCTGATTATGTGTATTTTGAACTGTATTCCAGAGTAATACATATCAAACTACTGTATCTTAAAATGGAAACATTTATAACAGTCATCTAAAATATCCTTTTTTTTTTCTTCTGCCAACTGTTTATTTTTTTAAGGTACACTTACTGTTGGAGATCTAGTAATGGTGAATGGACTGCTTTTTCAGCTTTCACTACCCCTTAACTTTCTGGGAACTGTATATAGAGAGACTAGACAAGCACTTATAGATATGAACACCTTATTTACTCTACTCAAGGTAGACACCCGAATTAAAGTAAGTAATCTATATAGTACCTTTTCAAAAGTACGTGAGCATCATCCCATCAATAAGATTATTCTAGGGAAGTATTCTTACATCACCATGTTTGTAAACCAGTTTCTTTCTTACAGAAATTGGGTTTATCTTGTGTATTAAGAGGTTGTTATAGCTTTTACTTCTGTTTAGAAACCTTACAATGTTAACAAAGTATATTATACCCAGAAACTAAATTTTGTTAACTTGTAATTTTGTACTTGTGCTTGGTTTACTTTTGCTAATAATTAACAATGCAGAATGTGTAATTGCCTCTCCTTACATCCTCCACCTCCTTACTTCCCTATCCACTATTTGTCCTCTTTACCCCACCCCCAATAAAAAGTGCTGAAAAACCAAAGCTTTCAGAATTGTTGACCTAAGCGTGAGGGGTGAAAAAAAGAAATCTTAGAAAACATTCTTGGAAGTAGTCTAATTCTGTTTATAAATCTCCTCCTTCCCCATTATTTTCCTTTTTCTCTCTGTAAATTACAAAATTGTCTGTATAGACTTATACTCTAGATGATATATAATGTGGTTTGTTTTTTCTCTTCCCTGCTAGGACAAAGCAATGGCACCTCCCCTTCTGATTACACCACAGACAGCTACGGTGGCCTTTGATAATGTGCATTTTGAATACATTGAGGGACAGAAAGTCCTCAGTGGAATATCTTTTGAAGTCCCTGCAGGAAAGAAAGTGGCTATTGTAGGAGGTAGTGGGTCAGGGTGGGTAATTTAGTTATTTATAAAATTCTACATCATTGACTGATGATTCCCAATGTAATATTTTTTCTTTATCATGATAAAATGATTACTGTTGTTTAAAACAGGGATCCCTTAATGCCAGTAGGAGTTAAGTAACCTTTTCTCATCTCTAATTTCAGGAAAAGCACAATAGTGAGACTGTTATTTCGCTTCTATGAACCTCAAAAGGGTAACATTTACCTTGCTGGTCAAAATATACAAGATGTGAGCCTGGAGAGCCTTCGGAGGGCAGTAGGAGTGGTGCCTCAGGTATTTTTTAAAAACCTATTTTTTGAAATATTTATTGGATTGGTGGATCTATAAATAGAATAATTTGATGTCAAGGAGTCAACAAATGCTAATGAACTGGGTAGTATTCAGCCTCCAAATCAAATTCTGTTACCAAAAAGAAGAAAAAACTTCAGGGAAATTTACATGATGCAAAGATTTCTAAACCCTAAAATGGTAGCATAATATAGTAGAAAGAGCACAGACTGTAGAGTCAAACAGATCTGGATTCTAACCCCAGCTCTAACCCTTATTAGTTCTGTGGTTTTGGTTCTCAGTTTCCTCACCTGTAAAACGAGGATACCATTTATCTTATAGGTTAGGATTGTAATTATAGATTAGAGATAATATACGTAAAGCACCAAGCACAATGTCCAGCTCACACTTGATTGAGTAAATGAAAATTATTATTGTAATTTTAAACAATTTTTGACATAGTCAATTTATAATGATTACAAAGCACCTTGGCTGCCAACCTCAAGTTTTTATGTCTAGTTCACTACTATACCCTCAATACCAAGCACAATGCCTGACCCATAGTATGCACTTAGTATTTGCTGAGTGACCTTGGTGGTTGGTGGTGGGGAGATAAATTATCTAAGAAGACAAGAAGATACATATAGTATGTGAGTTTTTCTTATACTGAAAGACCTGGAATTCAGTACAGCTAATACTTATTATAAAGCTGATCCTTAGAATCTAATCCCTAGGAGGACAGATCAAAATTTGAAAGATGGGAGGAGAAGAGCTATAAAAAATGGATCAGACAAGGATATGTAGCTTATAAAATATCACGAAGTGATCTGACACATGCCACTCTGCCCTGTTCTCTTTTGTGAGAATCCCAAATGTTGGTGTGCTTAAGTCACCGTAGCAGATGTTTTAAATTCTTGCATTCTTTCACACAACCTAATTCTGATTTAAGAGATCTGTGTGATACCCAGAAACCCAGATTTTTTAATAGCCCTCTTAGGTGACGCTATATAGGTGGTTCACAGACTATATGCTGAGAAACACCGACCTAAATTGTATGTCAAGTGAACTGGGTTCTGGGTTGTAACTACTTAGGGTTCAATGTCCTCATCTATGTCACTAGATTCATGCCTTTATCTAGGGCTGTTTAAGAATTACTCTCATCTTTCTGAAAAATAAAACATTTTATTCCCAAAGGAAAAATATACATGGTCAATAAAGAAATGAAAAGATGCTCATCCTCATTGGAGGTTTTAGCTATATAAATCCAATCAACAATGGGATACCATTTTTGCCTATCAGATTAGCAAGGATTTTGGAATTTATAATATCCAGTTTGACCAAGGCTGTGTAAAATTGCTGTTGTTAGGTGCCGTCAAGTCGATTCCGACTTACAGCAACCCCATGTACAACCGAACGAAACACTGCCCAGTCCTGCACCATCCTCATAATCGTTGTTATGTTTGAGCCCATTGTTACAGTCACTGTGTCAGTCCATCTCGTTGAGGGTCTTCCTCTTTTTCCCTGACTGTCTATCTTGCCAAGCATGATATCCTTCTCCAGGGACTGGTCCCTCCTGATAATGTGTCCAAAGTACATGAGACGAAGTCTCGTCATCCTTGCTTCCAAGGAGCACTCTGGCTGTACTTCTTCCAAGACAGACTTGTCTGTTTTTCTGGCAGTCCATGGTATATTCAATATTCTTCACTGATACCATGGTTCAAAGGCATCAGTTCTTCTTCGGTCTTCCTTATTCATTGTCCATCTTTCGCATACATATGAGACACACCTTAGTCTTCAAAGTGACTTCTTTGTTTTTCAACACTTTAAAGAGGTCTTTTGCAGCAGATTTGCCCAATGCAGTACGTCGTTTGATTTCTTAACTGCTGCTTTCATGGGCGTTGATTGTGGATCTAAGTAAAATGAAATTCTTGACAACATCAATCTTTTCACCGTTTATCATGATGTTGCTTATTGGTCCAGTTGTGAGGATTATTTTCTTTATGTTGAGCTGTAATCCGTACTGAAGGCTGTAATCAGTCTTTGATCTTCATCAGTAAGTACTTCAAGTCCTCTTCACTTTCAGCAAGCCAGGTTGTGTCATCTGCATATCGCAGGTTGTTAATGAGTCTTCCTCCAGTTTTGACGATGAATGTGATGCCGTTCCTCTTCGATTTGTCATTCCTGATATAGTAGACCATATGATTGTCTGATTCAAAATGGCCAGGACCAGTCCATTTCAGCCCACTAATGCCTAGGATATTGATCTTTATTCATTCCATTTCAGTTTTGATGCCTTCTAATTTCCCTAAATTCATACTTCATAACATTCTATGTTTTAATTACTAATGGATGTTTGCAGCTGTTTCTCCTCATTTTGAGTCATGCTACATCAGCAAATGAAGATCCCAAAAGTTTGACTCCATCCACGTCATTAAGATTGACTCTACTTTGAGGAAGCAGCTCTTCCCTAGTCGTATTCTGAGTGCCTTCTAACCTAAGGCACTCATCTTCTGGCACTGTATCGGACAGTGTCCCGCTGCTATTCAGAAGGTTTTCACTGGCCAGTTTTTTCAGAAGTAGACCACTAAGTCCTTCTTCCTAGTCTGTCTTAGTCTGAAAGCTCCACTGCAACCTGTCCACCATGGGTGGCCCTGCTGGTATTTAAAGTACCAGTGGCGTAGCTTCCAGCATCACAGCTACACGCAAGCCACCACAGTACTACAAACTGGCAGACACATAAAATAGTCTGTTTTGCTAGTAGAAGTATACAGGTTTTCTAAAAGGCAAATTGGCAACATTTATCAAGAGCCTGAAAAATATTTGTACCCTTTACTCCAATATTTTTGCCTCTAGGAAATCTTATTAAGACAATAAATAGAGATGTGGACAAATCTTTATATGCAAAGATATTCTTTATAGCATTGCATTATATTACATTACATTACATTCATTATAGTATTAATAATAATAAAAAGTTGGAAACAGTCTAAATACCCAACAATAAGTAGACAGTTAAATTATCATCGTAGGATCAAATGTTATATAGACATTTTTAAATGTCAAATTATTACAGAATATTGTCATGTAAAAATACTTATATGAAGTTTGCTGAAAAAAAAAGATACCAAACAAAATATCTCAATCTTATAATAGTAAATGGACATTTGTAAGTGAGAAAAAAGGAGAAAATGCAACCAAATTCAAATGGTAGTTATTACAGGGTATTGAGATTATGGGTTATTTAATTAATTTTTATTTTACTGTATTTTTTGTATTTTCAGATTTTCCAATTAGCATTTGTTTCTTAACTTTTTTCTGAATATGAACTATTTTAAAAAAGTATTCCCTATTTATAGAACTTTGATCTCATTAAGTACCATGTGAATACAGTAAATTTTTTATATTAGTAGATACATAAATGATTAAAATATTACTTAAAATAATATCTGAAATTCTGGAGCTCATCATGATGTTAAAGAAGATCTTAATTAATTGGGTATCCTGGTTAATGTGAACTAACAGAATCATTCTGTTTCACCTTACCAACTATAGACTTCCAGCCTTTTAGAGATTGACAGAAAAGTGGGAGATAGATGGTCATTTTAAATAAATTAGCTTTAGTGTGTCATGTCAGAATAGGTTGAAATATCTAATGAATGCTTGCAGTCAACTTTCTGAAAAAATGCATAAATTATTTGTTTTCTGTTTTTTAAGTTAAATTTAAAAGCTTCTTCAAAATATATTCAACCTTATTAGTAATTAGGGAAATGCTAATTTAAACAAAAGTACATTTTACCCCTAAAAGTAGCAAAAATTCAATTGTTAAGATCTAGGATTACTGAGGATATGATGAACTGGTACCCTCAAACAGTACTGGCTGGAGGTTATGCTGCTGGTAGAGCATTTTTTTGAAAACACTTCGGTAGTACTGTCAAAGATAAAGTGTATGCTTAGCCTTTTTGTTTGTTTTGTTTTTTTAACCCATCAGTCTACATCTAGGAATCCACCTGACAGAATACTCACATGGGTGCAGTGTCATATATACGTTGATATTTTCTTGCAATACTGTTGTAATAGCAAAAAATCAGAAATCGCATAAATGTCCATCAGTAGGGGAATGGATAAATAAATTATTATACATCCATAGTATGGAATAAAAAACCGTTAAAAAGAATGAGATGTAGGCGTCTGTTACTGACATGGACAGTCTCCAGGATATGTTAAATGAAATAAGTGATTTGCAAAATAATATGTATAGTATGACCCCACTTGTGTTGACGAAGTGTGTATCTTTAGGCACAAAACATGTAGAATAAAGTTTAGAAGAATACACAACAAATATAGTTTGTTACCTCTGGGAAGAAAATGGGATTGCAGGGATAAGGGGGGTGATAAAAGGGGATTGTCATGTTTCACTCTTTGCACCTGTGTTGTTTAAATTTTTTAATAACGAACATGCATCTATATGTATGTATGTATAAATCTGCTCCAGGATGCTGTCCTCTTCCATAATACCATTTACTACAACCTCTTATATGGGAACATCAGTGCTTCACCTGAAGAAGTATATACAGTGGCAAAATTAGCTGGACTCCATGATGCAATTCTTCGAATGCCACATGGATATGACACTCAAGTAGGGGAGCGAGGGCTCAAGCTTTCAGGTAATCAAAGATTTTAGAGCTGCAAAACCACTTGTGTACTCCCATCAAACTCTAATTTGTGAGATTCATTTTCTAGAAAATGTAATGACTTTGAGTTCAAACTTAGTACCATGCAGTTACTTTAGAAGGGGTCCTCCAATTTCCTACCCCTCGTGGTAAACAATTTATACTAGAACTAACTAGTTTCGTTTTTGTTTTTCCTTCACTTGCAACTACAAGCACTCTTGGTGCTTCATAGTAAGTTATTGATATGTGTTCTAATCAGTGTTAACTTGTTATCCATGTTCTTTATATTAAAGGAAAACTGAGGTCATTATTCACCTGGGAAAGTAGTGAGAGTAAGGAGAAGTAATTTGATAGTGAATATTTACCTCTTTTCATAATTTCCTAGGTCATTAGGAGATGTTTTCAATACTTTAGACATTCTTATACTTGATCCTGTTAATTACTATGCTTACCTTACAGTCAAGTTCATTTTCATGTTTTTACTGGTTCAGTGGTCAAGTAATTTTTGAGACTTATACATTTGCATTTCTATTTAAGTGTTTAATTATGAGATTGCTAAGTTTAATAATGAATTATCCTAAAATGACTTTGAAGTTTTTTTGAGAATCTGTAAAAATGTTTCTTTGTCCCAAATCATTTGAATTCCAAAAGTATAACTAATACCTGAAAGTATTAGTGTAGCTCATACAAACATACTACACCCTCTGTATTTATTCTTCATTCTGGTTTAGTTTTAGGAGGAAATGTATAGGTTAGGGATGTGGGAAGGAAAAAAGAGAATGAAGAATAGTCTGCATGAATTTAATGAATTCCCATTCCTCTCAATACAAACTGGATTAATTTATTCAAAACATTTATTAGGTGCATACTATGTGCAAGCTACTGTGTTACATGATTTACAGTTAAAAAGATGAAGCATACACGGGTCTTCTCTCAAGGAGTTTGCAGTCTATTAGAAAGTTTTGATCTAGGTTTAGAAAATGTTAAGCAAAGATAATTTTCAAGTTAAGTTGGTTTGTGGCATTTATTTGGTTGTTACCTGGTAGTATAAGATGCCTGTATCGTTCCAATCTACCTTTATACTTTACGATTGCTCATAATAGAAATAACTTCCAAATAACTAGCCCATCCCCAAATTATGTCTAATTCTAGCGATCCCTAGTTTATCATGTAATGTAGCCTAGCCCTCTCAATACATGACCTTGTCTCAGCTAGCTATGCCATATTTCGTTTTCCAATCTTTGTTTTTTCCTCCCTCTTTGCATGCCTTAGGGGGTAGGAATGGCTAAAGAAATTTTCTTCTTACCTTATACTCAGTGTCTTGCAACCAGACCTCCCAAAATGAGCGATCTGTTATTTAGCTTCTATGCTAATAATTATGTTAAAGAATACACAGATATATCTTCTCCCAGTTCCAAAATACTATTGAACAGAATTTCAACTAAGTTAGTCTCCCCTTGAAATTTGAGACTAGTCAAACTAGTCCTTCCTCTGAGTATCTATCTCTTTTAGAAGTTTTCTGCTACTGTGCTTATAGGAGGGCAGGCCGATAGATCTGGCATGGTGCCTGTTTTGATAGGAGAATCTTGATCTTATGAAATGAGGAAGGGTATGGATAACATGAATAAAGCCAGTACTAAACATAGGTAACACCCTTTACAGGTTGAAGATAATAAACCTAGAATATGTAAAAATAAAATAATAGTTGGTGAACCAGGTAGAACTTGCTTCCTGAAGGGGTTACTCAAGCTGAAAAATAAAAGCTTTTTCTGATGTGTTGATAAATTAATTGATAATAGACAAGAAGCCAAATGGGACATATTCAACAAAGCACCATCTTCTACACTTCCAACCATAGTTCTGTGTAAGATTGATACCTTAGACCTATAGGAGTCTCAGCCATGAAAGAAAGAAGTCTGTTCAATCTTTAGTATAATTTATGTTTATAATTCTGCCTGCTAGAGACCTATAGCAAATAACTAAGAGGAAGTAAGAGGTTTCTAGTACATACCCTTAATTTTAAAGAATGCTGTGAAAGATAACTATGTCAAAAAAAATCCTTGTGAATACTGACTGAATGGTATTTTGCTTTATATTAAGAGGTAAATTTAGATAATCATAATTTCATATCTTCAGGTTTTCAGGTTTCACATATTGAGTTTGTTTTTGGCTTTGTTGATTAATATTGAAATTTTTCTATCTGAGCTTGCTGTTAATTGGGAAGTATCTGTAACATAAAGTAGCATGTATGATGAGCATATTTCTAGTGAGAGGAATAATTGTAGAGTCAAAGTTGTTAACTCCCTTCCTCATTCTTTTCTCCTGCCATGAAGTCAGAATCTAGTATTATATTTATGTTCCAGGGAATATAGTTTGTCAAAGGATATCATATATGAACTTAGACACTACAACTCAGTAAAATAACAGTTATCAGGAGTAGAGGTAAATGTTGAAGGTATACTTGGTGGTTGTAATTAATGAATATACTAGAAACAAAATTATGTCTTTGCACTTTGCTTCCTTATGCTAAAATTTTTCTTTACCAGGAGGAGAAAAGCAAAGAGTAGCAATTGCAAGGGCCATTTTGAAGGACCCCCCAGTCATTCTCTATGATGAAGCTACCTCATCATTAGATTCAATTACTGAAGAGGTAAATGATGAAAATATAAAGCTCTTCAACTATCAGTGTTTAACTTTTCTTCCTGGATATTTAAGTAAAATGGCTGCATTACATTGTATTTTGAATGAATTTCAGCTCTTCTTCCCCATATAGCAAGTGTTGATGGTAAGATTACCATGTTGCATTGAACTAGATATCAGTGTTAAGTCCATTTGCAAATGTGTCTCCTTTTGCAACTGTGTGAAACCTTATACTGTTGTATTAACCTTGCATCTTGCAAAGCTGTAGAAATTGGCTGATATGCTGACAAAGAAAGGTTTTAGTCTTTTTCCTATGGAACTCATTGAAATAAGTCATGTAAATAATTGTGACACAGTCCATACCAGAAAGCCTTTCACTTATCATGAAGCAACTCACTGAAATGCAGGTTAGGCACACACAACCTGCAGTGCTTGTATCAGTTTATATTCATTGTGAAACATCAAGATGTTGTGACACTGATGTCATGACACTACCTCAGCAACTGCATTAGACTTCATAATAACATCTTTGCATTAAATATAGCAATGGTCTCAACAGCAATGGTAATTTCATAAACAAATCCCCTTAATCTAGAACTGAAGATAAGCAAATATTATTTGCCAATTGCCTGCAATCATCTACCTTTTTATTTAATATACGGTGGAAACCTAGTATTGAAGGATAGGCCTAATTTTGGCCTTAAAGGCTACGTGACATGATACTTGCATATGGAGTTAAGTTTCGTGACACATTATTTGATCTGCAGTGTATTTAAAACAGTTTAATTCCAAAGTAAACTGTTTAGTATAGGGATATATTATATTTCAAGTAACCCCTAAAAGTTCTACTGTTGTTGTTAGGGGCCGTTGAGTCAATTCTGACTCAGTGACCCCATGTGACAGAGAACTGCCCCACAGGATTTTCTAGGTGTAATCTTTTTTAAAAAATTTTTTTTATTGTTGTAGTTTCAATGAAGTTTACATTTCAAGTTAGTCTCCCATACAAAAATTAATACATACATTGTTATGTGACACTAATTGCTCACCCCATACTGCGACAGCACACTTCTCCTTTCCACCCCTGATTCCCCATGTCCATTCAACTAGCTCCTAACCCTCTCTACCTTCCCATCTCACCTCTGGATAGAAGCTGCCCACCTAGTCTCTTGTATCTACTTGAGCTAAGAGGCACATTCCTCAGGAGTGTCACTTTATGTCCCACAATCCAGTCCAATCCCTGTCTGAAGAGTTGGCCTGGGAAATTGTTTTATTACTGGGCTGATAGAGAATCCAGGGGCCATGCTTTCCAGGGTTCCTCCAGTCTCAGACCATTAAGTCTAGTTTTCTTACTAGAATTTGAGTTCTGCACCCCACCTTTCTCCTACTCCATCAGGGACTGTCTGTTGTGTTCCCTGTCAGGGCAGTCACTGGTGGTAGCTGGGC